TAACTATGGACTCTGTTATAAATACATTTAAACTTTAATTTGCTTAACCTTGAGTGTAACCTATATGACAGATAAGTTCCACTGATCCTACTTCACAGAAGTGTAGAACTGAGATGGAGAAAATCTCAGATTGTAAGAACAGCCACCCAGAAAGACTTTCCCAGGTTTAACCATTCAGGCAGAGTGTATCATATGCAAAGGGGCCATACTACTTTTCAACTGGCAACACCTTGGTGTTGTTCATATGGTACTGTTTTACAGACATACTGAATGCAGGAGTTACAGAGCTGAAGGCCTGTACCCACATTTCTCAAAAAAAAAAAAAAAAAAAAAAAAAAAATTCATGAGGCTGAAGTCTCTACAAGAAGCGCCTGACTGACCATGCTGAGTCACTTTGAGGTTAAGTCTAAGGTGCTGTGGAAACCCCCGGATATTAGAGATGCCAGAAAAATGGTGGGATGAGTGGAGCCAGGCCAAGACAAAGCACAAACCCTACCAATGGCAGGGCTCTGTGATCACAAACACCTACAGGAACATCGTGTGTCAGAGTATCACTGCCTCAGCAAGGTATGTCCCGGGGGCTGATGTTTTAAGTACTTGGTTGTCTCTGGAGCATTACTGTGAAGACTACAGAGCCTAGCAGGTGCCTAGGAGGCGGGGCCTGGCTGGTCAAAGTAGGTTACTAGAGGAAGCCTCCCTGGTTCCTCTAGCTCTCTGCTTCCTGGTCCATGCTACCTCCTAATCCCATGGACATGGACACGACCTCTGAAACGGTCTTCTGACTGGTGGGCTGAGATCTCAGGACCAGTAAAGCAGAGCAAGCCTTTCTTACCCTTATCCTGTTGTGCATTTCTGGTCACAGTCATGGAAAGGTAATGAACACAAGTATTTAGAGAGAAGGGGGAAGACAGCACACAGACAGGAAGACCTGTGTGATAAACTAAGAAACTTTCAAGTGCTTCCTGTCACTAAGGAGTTCCCAACTCCAGCAAGAACAAATGCAACCAGACTTGCTGACACAGCCTGGGACAGAATTTGGAGTCAAAGAAATCTGGAAATACGGAAAATTCAATATTAAATTCTTTCTTTGGCTTGTGACTGTTCTATAGTATGTGGGGAATGATCTTTTTCACTACATACTCACGCTAAGAACAAGTCTTTGAGCTTTCGGAATGGTGGTGGCACATGCCTTTAACCCTATCACTCGGAAGGCAGAGGCAGGTAGATCTCTGAGTTTGAGACCAGCATGGTCTACAGAGTGAGTCCCAGGACAGCCAGGGCTACCCAGAGAGACCCTGTCAAAACAAATACCTCCTCCCACCCACCCCCAAACAAACCAAAAAAATAAGTCTTTGAACTTGGAGAGGCAAACTGTAAATGTTGGGAAGTCTTGCTAGCCAGGAAGTAAGGCGATGGTGATTATAATGCAGTGGTGTAAAAATTACACAGCGGACTTTTCTGATGATTTTGAGAAGGAAGCCATTATTTCTTGGCACTAACGTGATGTATGTCCACAGCTGGAGAAAGGGATGGGGGCTATAATGACATCTGGTGAAAGGCCACTGGAGGCCTTCAGTTCTCCAACAGTGACAGCAAAGGAGCACAAGGGTGTTCTTGCTCATTCTTTCCCTCTGAGGACACAACACAAAGACAGCTATCTGAGCTATCTGAGTCAGGAAGTGGACCTGCACCATAGCCCGAGTTTCCAGCACATTGGTGCTGACCTCCTAGCCTCCAGAACTGTAAGAAACAAATGTTTATGATTCATAAACAATTTAATAGATGGGTATTTTGTTATAACAGTCCAAAAAGTCCAAGATAAACATTTTCGTAAATAAGCACGATACTTAATGTCTCAGGGCTTCTCTCATTACCCAACCAACATGTACCAAAACCAGGACTCTCCAGTTAACATTCTATAAAATGGGTTAGATACAATTCTGAGTACACTTTAGTTTTCATTCAAACAGAAGAATGTTATGAAACCATCATACAAAATATAAGCTTAGTTGTGCTATGACCCAAAAGGGAAAAATTCAAGACTGTTAATAGACAGCCCAGCAGAAGAACCTACTCTATGGCAGGATTAGCAGCATGTATACTTTCCATAGTTTAACGTCTTTCCTATAATATTAAATAAAAAGAAAACATTAAATATTTTTGTTTGGCTATAGAGTTGAGTTTTCTTCAGCTATTAGACTGGTAAACTCAAAGGCAAACTACCACCCATTAAACTTTGAACTTTATCTATTTATTTATTTATTTGCCTGTCCAAGACAGGGTTTCTCTGTTTAATAATCCTAGTTGTTCTGGAACTCACTCTGTAGACCAGGCTGACCTCCAACTCACAGAGTTCCAATTGCCTCTGCCTCCCGAGTGCTGGGATTAGAGGTGTATGCCACCACTGCCCAGCAAATTCTGAACATTTATTTTGGGAAGCCATATCAGGACAAACTGATAATGTAAATAGTTGTTCTCTTCCTGGCATAACGATTTGAGAATAAAAACAAATGCTAAAAAAGAAAAAAAGAAAAAAAAAGACTCTATTTTCAGAACATTTACTTCGATACAATGAACGTCTTAAAAAAAGCAGAGTGGATGATTGAACCCTTGTAGAATGTGCTTACTAGGACATCTATATGTTCAAGAGGCCTTATGTTCCAGTTAAGGATAGCAAAATCTCCAGTACACTTTACAATTAGATATAACAGAGGATCAAGGACAGAACCAAAAGACAAAGCAACAAGATAAACGAAGACTCAGACTTTCCATCTAAAGGATAAACTATTTCACTTGACAACATAAATGCTCACGTTCTCTTGTTTTCAATGGGGGATTAAGCCTCAGACTATGTGAAGCCCTCCGTTTCAGCGTGCTTATATTTGGAAAGAAGGCCTTCAAGAAGTAAAGTTAGTTAGGTCACAAGGGTGAGGCCTCAGTCTATAGAATAGTGTTCTTAGAAAGAGAAAGAAGGTAAAAACCCTTTCATTTTCCTCTCTAGTATTAGAAGACATAATAAGAATGTTGCTGTCAGTAAGTCAGAAGGAGAGTTCATATGAGAAACCAACCTGCCAAACCTTGTTCTCAGCCTTCAGCCCCTGTGAAAAAGTAAATCTATTGTTAAGTCAAACTGTGAATATATTTTGTTCTAGAAGCCCGAGATGACTAATACACCTTCCTAATTCTTTTCTCCTCTGGTGTCTAAAGTGCCCTCCTCTCTGTGACTCGGACACTCAAGTTGAGGAACATATCAGAGGATACACCAAGTTCCAGTCTGAGCAGCACTCCTTTACATTTAACAACTAGACAGGAGAGAAATAGTCAAGGCACTTCCTACGCAGAGAAGATGGAAGTGAATGGGTGATTTTTCTATGGCTGCATTTACTTGTAAATTCTTGAAATCCCATATTCTTTCCTACACAAACATAAGTACTCTGCAGTGAACAACATCTGGGTCTCTTCAGCTATGATCACCTTGTCTCAGAGTCCCACCAGGCTTGTGATGCAGAGTCCACAGGGTTATCAATCACTTGCAATGCATTTAATACATCAATGATCTGGAATAGGGGTCACTCAAATCACTATTCCAGTGAAACTGTTCCCTTCCCATGAAGAGAAGGAGGAATGCATGTTAAAGATGGCAAGCGCCACAGTGATGCTGGGTTCCAATGTGTGGCTGCTCGCTTGCAAGGACACAGAGGCTGTAGTTCCTTAGGTGAGATTCTCCATCTATTTATTTGGTAGAAGGCATGGATATTTAAAAGCACACATTTTTCTGTGGCTGGCATTAAACTTGAAATCTGGTGGGCAACTTTTCAAGAAATAAAAGCTACAAACAAAATAGCTTTCATTCCATTCAGCACGCTGTGGGAAACGACTAATGGATAAGCATTACTGTGACTGGCAGGGCCAGTTGCCAATAACAAGGATGCAAGCCCACATAAAAGCAACACTTTCTCAGCTTATTTCACTAATTTGTCAAAGTAGGACATTATCTGATGGGGGGGGGGCAGGGCTGGGAGCATGGGAGGCGTCCTACGTTTTCTACCACTGTCTGTAATCTCCTTTCTGTGTAATAGGATTTTCTTTTACCATTTCCTAAACCACACTGCATTCAGTAAGAGTTGTTTCTTCTCTGGCAGGATATATGTCCACTATTTACTTATTCCTGCTTTGTCTTCTTACAACAGAAAAATGAAGTCTAGCGGTCAGAAGCAAAGAAATGGTGGTATTCCAATACATGCTCTTCAGAGAGACTGCATATCTTGGCATCCATACTGTCTCCTCATTTGCCTGTTTCCTGCTGGGGAGGGGAAGGAAGGGGAGGACTCCAAAATTGCTCTCATCTCTTCCATCTTCACCCCTTAACCCCCAAATCCTTCTTACCACTTAAGACGGACAAATCAAACTAACGCTAAGCAGGTCAAAACTTAACAACTTCCAAAACAGAGTGAAGATGCCACCATCATAAAAGAAGAGTCAATTCATTTCATTAGACTTTCAAAATTGTAGTTCAAGATTTAGTGGACAACACCTTATTTTATTTCAGACAAGGCTTTCTCCTGTAGTTGCTAAGCACTCAGAATCTGAGGTGATACTACCTAAGTTCAAATGATTACTACCAGTTTTAATCTCTCTGTATCTCCACCTCTCCCTTGGGAGTATCAATTTACATCACATCTTAGTTTATCCAGCAGCCTACATTATATGGACAATTAACTGTTTTAATTTCAGTATTCATTAGTATTATTAAATAGTTGTATGCAAAACCAAGCAAAGGCTCATTTGTCTTAGGTAACATAAAAAAATATTCTTATATATCAAAAAATGAAAAGTGTTAGAATGAAACCCTGTTCCACATTAGCCTCAAGAAGTGCAAGCAACAGCTTGCACTTGACTTTCAGAAACATTTAGCTTTCCTAAACGACAAGTCAAAGGGAAACCACAAGCCATCCGAGTCGTTAAAAGACAAGCAGAGACCTTGCTCTGTGAGTACATACTTTTGGGGAGATCTGTTGTCTACTTCAGCCTTCAGTCTTAAGTTCTCCCTCAGCAGGCCACCATTTTCCAACTTCAATTTTTTATTTGCCTAAAAGAAGAGTTAAAAATAATTAAACATAAGCTAATATAGAAGTACCTTGTAAAAATTATGAGCCATCTGATTCTTACAGTGACATCAGAAAATTGAATACTAGACACCGCCCTTAGAAACATAAAATCACCAGTGGGAATAACTTGAAACTTCAAATACAACTAAGCATTTAAAAGCTACATTCTCCAAGAACTTCCTCAGTCTTCTACTCAGGAAAATGAAGCTGTGTTAGTTAGATAGCTCAAAGCCAATAAGGGACAATCTAATCGTAAATATAGGCATCACTTTTGTTTGTTCACTTTACCATAATTAAATGCTCTAAACAAGACAAGATTACATCATACACAAGTATTTACAAACTAATGCTAAAGAGTTAACCCTTAAACCATGAGATTAATTTCTTGGCTACTACTTAGACACCTCTCCAGTGATAAATCTAGCATGAGTAAGCTACTGATTTTATTTCTTAAACAGGTCTTTCTTATTCTCTGTCTTCCAACTTCTGATACCCTTAAAATTTGGGCAATATTTTCTAGTAAGCTTCCAAATGTTCTTTGACATACATATTAAGAAAAGACTCCTTCAAGCATAACTTTTTTTCTGGATTTGTTCAATGCCTAAAAATAATTACAAAAAACCCCACAAAACCCCAAAACCAACACAACACAACATACAGTAGCTCACCTGGAATACACAGACTGTCACAAAAAGAAGGGAGAAAGCTAGACACTCAGGACCACAGATAGCCTAAGGGTGGAACCAATGTTCTTAGACTTTAGAATTACATTTAAATTTCTGCTTGTGTAGTACTAACAACATTAAATTAAACTCTATAGATTAACCACCAAACTTACTCAGCCAGCAAAGAAAATGCTATGGCTAGAACATTTATTTCATAGTTAATAAGTCATAGAAGTACTGTCAGGGAAAGGGAAAGAGTAACCTAAGAAGTTTTTAGAATATACATTAAAAAAATAAAATAAAATAAACTGACCAGAGTTTTTCTTTTTTTTTTTTTTTTACTAACTTCCAGAATGTATTACTTACCTACTTACATACAATTGTACCTCAAGAATAACAAGAAAAGGAGGATAGAGGATATTCATTTGTAGCCTATACCTTTACTCAAACTTATTCAAGTTCATTTTGGGCTCTGAGTGCTTGCTCACCTTCATGGATGCATACAAACCAGGAAGGTGCAGGGTTAATTCTTTAAGTGACTGATAGATACCATTATTACCGCCCCCTCAAAGATACACAGAAAGCCATTTACTTCCTCATACATATCAACAATGAATTATGCTTTCAAGCACAGCACCATAAAGGGAGGCACTTAGTGAATATTTTTTGATGATGACAAGAAGCTGAAATTAGAACTCACCTGACTTCCTTCCCTACACCCACCCAATACTGGTATCACTATCAGTATGTTTGAAGGTCTCTCACCAGTCCTGTGGTTTCCTTTTTTTTTTTTTTTTAATACTTCTCATTATAGGCTGGATAGCTCTTAACTATTAAAGGAAATAAAGATTGTAAACAGTAGAGTTCTGCCTACTTATAGTACCTGGGAATATCAAAGACTTTAATTGTTATCCATTCTCAACCCTGACTGGGAATGATGTCTCATAATGTTTCTCAACTCACTGAATCCAGGAAGCGCCACAAGTCCATTTACTCACACCAAATTGTACTTTACTGAACAGTTTGTTTTTCTGCATATGAGTTAGATCATTATTTGCATTTTGTCTCTGTAGTTTATGTTTCTTACTCACAATTTATTACCTAGTAAGTAACTGGGCACCCCAAACAGGCTTATTAAATGTCCCAAATAACTGTGATGTCGTAGGATATCTGTAACCACTGAATTTAAACATAACTGTGCTTTGCATAGCCTTTTCATATATTCCTCACAGTGATATTATAAACCCAGAGTGAATTCTGCATAGAGCTTCAAGCTCCAAGAAGTATTTCTGCCAAGAATCTAGTAACTATAGGAGACTCTGGTGGCTGGAGAAAAACACGGAAGTCACAGGAGAAACTTGTGCTGTAGTTTTTCTTACCTTTTAACAAAGGTAACACATTTACACGTTTACACTAAGGCCGGCTGCCCATACACAACTACATACTTCCTTCAAAAACTACAGGGAAGTATGTACACAGTTTCCTTTCTTCTGAAAGCAGCTTCCCTCTGCCTTTCACACGGGCCTTTATGAATCACACAGCATTTGTTTTGTATATGGAAAATGGTTTACCCTGAGTTGAAGATTTTTCTCTGCTACTTAACCTCACTGAAGACACGAGTGCTAATACATAGTGGTTCTTCTATAAAATGTCATACAGAGCCATTAACGATTTTAGGTCTGAGGACACAGTCATTCAGAATAAGAACAGCATTTAAGGGAATGCAGACAGGTTAAAGGGCCATTGTAGAAGGAGTGCTGTAAAAGCACACCCATTTAGCACTGCTGTACTCCAGGGCAGATAATCCTCAAGTCAAGCTCGAGGCTGGTCTTTGTTCCAGAAAGCAATACAACACCTGTCACTGCAATACTGTTAATGGCACGCATCTTTACCTCCTTTCTAGATTTAAAAAATCCTAAATGTTTGTTCCCCACCCTGGACTAATGTTCTCTGTATCCTGCTGAATGGATAGACAAATAGGAAAATGAATCAGCCTCATAAGGCACATTGCTCTTCTGCGTAAATGGTCTAAAGTAGGTGCTCACAGCTGAATTAGTCAGCAAACTTTCAATATGTACTTATATTTAGCTTTCAAAAATCACACAATGGTAGTGCTAGGAAAGGTATGGTTAAAATCCTTTGTTCAGCTGGGTACAGTGAGACACACCATTAATCCTAACATAAGGAGTCTCAAGTAGGAGGGTGGTTAGTCTGAGGGCAGCTTGCGCTACATAGCAAGTTCCAGACAGTCGTTAGCTATGTAGTGTGGTCTTGCCTCAAAAACAAGCAAATAAATGTTTCTTTGCTAAGCAGGGAATGGGATACATTTGCTTCAATGACAACAAAGCAGCCACTGCTGTAAGCTTAAAAAAATTCAGGCGAACCACAAAGAGGGGGACTGAGACCCGTCCTTGAACTGATGCAACTCTTCCAGGAGCACTCTCATTCATATACAAGCACTACAGTGTCTCCAACTACAGGCACAAATGGAACCACCTGCTATTTCTTGGCAGCTAATGACAGCTAATGAGACGATGTTTTCCTAGTCATGTAAATGCTCATCCAGGGTTTCATCCTGTCTTCACAAACCAGCTAATGGTGAGTCAAGGTACATGGCTATTTATACCTGTGAAAGTACTTAAAATACTGTAGAACTTTAAAAATAGCCATAATATATTCCCCCCCTCAAGATTGCAACTTACCTCTTTTAACTTATCTACATCGTCTTTTACTTTTTCATAGATCTCGTTAGCTGTTCTGAGTTTTTTCTTCCACTCTGCTACTGTTTCTGGGTCAACTTTACTCGGGTTATCTGCCACTGGGTGTTTGTCCTCATTCTGGCTGCCCTGCATCAAGGTTAAAGGGTCCAGAATAGTCTTGATCTGTGACTCCAAGCTGAGATTTTTACTTTTAAGTTCTTCTACTTCTTTCTGCAAACAATCTATTTCATCCTGAAAGAGTATGAAATTCAATAATTAGATATGGAGTAATGCTTGTACATGCTAAGCCAAAGCTCTTGAATATTACATTCAAACTTTTATACACACATGTAAACTTTATATATCATAAGAGTTTTGTAAGGAAAAAGTCAATTTAAATTCTCAGAATGTTTTTTGTGTATCATAAAAATTGATGCCAAAATACTTACATTTTAATTCAAAGACAGTTCTGGTTTTATAATTGTCAACATTTGATTTTGCTTAAGATATCATCAAGAAATTAAGAAAAAACATGAATTTCAACAAAAAGGTAGATTCCAATTCAGAAAGAAATTTGAGGCATGTTAATTGTTTTATAGAAATTTTAAAACTGTTGTTCAAAATAGTAACCAGAATTTTGTTTATATTTTTGCTTCTATGTATCTGAAGTAGGAATGAAATACTTCTACTTTTCATCCCAGATTAATAGCTGGGTTGAAGCGAGTCTTCAACCTTGGTCAGGGCCATTCCAAATATCTGCTTCTTTGAAACTGCTGTTGCTTTGGAGTGTGACTGTAAACATTTGGAGTAGATTCTTCGGTGTAATGTTGGGAGGCTCTGCTGATCAGAGGTTGCAGACTACCATAGCCTGGAAGCTTTCTCTAAGCTTGGCAACGTGGAGGACTCCCTCCCCTCCAGCAAAAGCTTCTGGCTCTCTACCTAGCCTTATCTGCAGGATATCTCTAGGCCCAGGATGCCTGACTTATCTAAGAGTGACCCTGGACACAGTTCCCAGCAAGTGCTTTTCTCCTATGACCCACATGGTAATTAGGCAAGTGCTCTAGCCATTCTGATAGGATCCTACAGCCACATATAAAGCCTTGTGATAGGAGCCTGCCACTTAATGCAAACTCGGGCTTTTCCCCAGAACCCCCACTCCCCCAGTCCTATAGATTCCTTACACTAAGGAATAAAGCTGGGCTGATTCACTGATTCACCTAAGTCTGTCTCCTGGAGGGCTGCCTCTGTTGTACCCACAGCTGTCTTCACCAGGTTCCACACTTCTGCTCCCCCCTCCCATGGACCAATGTAGCCAACTATAGTGGGAGAAGCAGAGGCACGGGCAACACCATCTATTCTTCTGTAGTGGACATACCCTCCTAATCTGAGGCTGTTAAAAAGTCTAACAGAAAACACTCCAAACTTCAGTGCTCATCTGAATGCTCCTCCCCGTCTCCTGCTGAAATGTTACTGCCCCTGTGATGGGGAAATATCAACAGATGATTAGGCCCTCATGAATGGGTTAATGCTGCTATCTAAGTTATCAATGAATGGTTCCTAACTAAAAGACAAAGAGTTCGGGCACTCTTCCTTTTTTTCTACACCATCATGTTGATAATGCTTTAACATTACCCTGTAGAAGCATAAGCCAGTTTAAGATGTTCTGATTTTAAAGCAAGAGAAACAGACTTAAGTCAATGACCTTTGATTAGTATCTATGACATTTAATAATTATGGAAAGTGCATTTTAGATTTGTTACAGTACTATTTACTAGTAAATTATAATACATTCCATAGCATTGTAAAAGAAGTTGTGTTCTTCCCAACCCCATTTTTTTTGTTGTTTTTTGAGTGTAGGTCTCTGCATCAGTGGTTCTCAACCTGGGGTGGAACAACCCTTTCATCGGTCTAGCATATCAGGTATCCTGTATGTATTTACACTACAATTCATAACAGTAGCCAAATCACAGTTAAGAAGTACCAACAAAATAAATGTATGGTTGGGGTCAGCACAACATGCAGAACTGTATTAAAGGGCGGAGTGTTAGGAAGGGTGAGAAGCACGGCTTTTAGTCCTGGCTGTCCTGGAACTCACCATGTAGACCAAGCAGACCTGGAATTCACAGACCTTTGCCTGCCTCTGTTTCCCAAGTGCTGGAATTGAAGTGGTGCGCCACCATACCCATCATAAGGCGTTGCATTTGTTAAATCAATGTAGCAATTTACATATTCATAAATGAATATAACATATACACACGTGTATGTATGTGAATGTTATAAAATCTCTACCCCTCTTCTAGTGAAGATAAGATATCAAAAGGGCTTAATGTCTACTATTCAAAAGTGTATTAATTCCAGAAGCATAAATTAATTTGTAAAATTTCCACATTCATGGCAGATCAGTTTGCTTATTCACCTTTAGACAAAAATTAGAAATAACCAATTTCACTGAAATCCATGGGCTAACAGATGGCAAATATTTATTTAGTGTACCAGAATTGGTCATGTTTATAATCATCAATCTGTAAGTAGTGACAAATTAATTGAGTTCCCTAAGTGGGCTTCTTTAATCTAATTGCTCATTTTTTTTTTTAAAGGAACAAATATAAAATGACTGGTAGAGGTACAAATTATTAAACAAACCACACACACACACACACACACACACACACACACACACACACTTTAAAGATGAGGGAGGGGTGGACTGGAGAGATGGCTCAGTGATTAAGAGTCCTGGCTACTTTTCTAGGGAACCTGGGTTTGGTTCCCAGCACCCACATGGCAGTCCCAGGTGGTCCAACACCTTCTCCCTGCCTCAGGTACCAGGCACTAGGTGGTGCATAGGCATCCATGCAAACAAAACACATACATAAAGTAAAAAATCACACATTAGAAAATAATTTCTAAAAAATGAGAGAAAAATGGAAATGTTTCCATTTCTTCCTTTTCTATGACACCCTAGTCATGTGTCCTTTACTTAGATAAAACCATTTTTTTTCTATTTGAGACAGAAAAGGAAGAACTTACCAAATATGTTTAGATTGGCACTGAAGGTTTCAGAGAAGGCATGGGGGCAGTGAATGAAGTGTACTCTCTAGGGCCATGAGACTCTCAAAAAACAAACAACCCCTCCTCCCAAGAAAAGATCTGAAATAAATAAAAGGACTAGATCGTAGGGCCTGGGTCTAAGATGTACGGAGCTTAGCTGGCTTTTCCCGCAAGTGCACTGCTGAAATCAGGTGAAAGCAGGACAGTTACCTCATACTCTTTGTGCAGCAGCTCGAGCCTCGTCCTCCGAAGGTGCTTCCTGACTGCAGGGCTCAGCATAGGCTCACTTTCGCCTGTTCCCCCTGGAGGGAAAAAATCCTCAGTGTTGCTTGTTTGGCCAAAATGAAAGTGAACCTCTTTCATACTGCATTACATAACTTCCCAGTTGAGGGTAATGTGAAGCTAATTAAGGTTTAAAAAAGAAAATTAGTGCCACACTAGGAGAGGCAAAAGGAGTTCAAACAGGAGCTAGGAAAATAACAAGTTCAGAGAGACTCTTGGTGTTTTATTTTTATTTTAGGGGGCACATTTTTGTTTTTCTTTAGTAAACATTACAAGTGAGCCTATAATTAGCCACAAGTGGACAGCACCTTTCAGAAAACTTAAGTAGTTGGTCTAAAATTAGGGGAGATTGTCTTAAATACTGTTTGCGATGAGAGCAAAGGAGTGAGGACTTTGGAATCATTTAGGGGTGACCATTTAGGCCTTTCTCTACTTTAACGATGAAAAAAAAAACATCAACCAACATCAAAAGAAATATCTTTGGTACTGTGTTTGCTTACCTAAATAAACATCTTATCATAGCAAAGTCAACAGAAGAGGGGGCTGCATAGGATTAATTTATCAATTTTGAAGACTACAAATTGAAAACAACTGTTAATTAATTAAAACACAATCTCACTGATTCTAATGACCCAGTTACAAAGGACTGAGTGCCCGCATTAGCCCCAATTTATGAGAAATATATCCAGTATCAATTCTTTCAAGAGTACTCTGAACTAATACTGGGGTTAATGGCTTTGTAGTTAGCAATCTGATAGCAAAACCATTTTGTAGAAGTTCTTTTCCAAGACAGTCTATCCAAAAGCAAGGATGAACAAACTATGTCAGAGAGTTCATCCATATCAAGTAGATAGGAATGAATACAGCAGTAAGAGAGGCAATGGAAAGCTAAGGAAAAACATTAAGCTACTTTAATTATCCATGTTCTCATCTTATACAAAGACCTGACTCCTTGCTGAAGTTAAGGAAGTGTAAGTATAGACTTCACCCCTGTGGTCATAACTGAAGCTCTGGACCCCAAAGTCCCACTCCGCCTTCTGCTCTCTATCACACACCTTCCTTTTCATTTCCACAACAAACATCATCTGTGACAGTCTCCCTAATTTTAGACCACTGCAACCACTCAGGTGTTGAAAGGCACTGCCTACCTGTGGCTAATTATTGGCTCACTTTTAATGTTCACTAAAGAAAACCCTAAATAAAGCACTAAAAGTCTCTCTGAAAGTGTTATTTTCCTAGCCTGTTTGAACCCCTCTTGTCTCTCCTAGTATGGCACTGTTTTTCTTTTTTCTTTTTTTAACCCTTAATTAGCTGTGGTGATATATTGTTTATGATCTAATAAAGTTGCCTGATGATCAGAATACACAGCTACAGCCATAGAGGCCAGGCAGTGGTGGCACACCCCTTTAATCCCAAGAGCCACACTAGTTAGCCACAGAAGCTGGGCAGTGGTGGTGCATGCCTTTAATCCCAGCACTAGAGAGGCACACAAGACAGGAGCCCAGGTCTCATTGCGGTATTCAGTATTCATCTGGCATTCAGTCTTCAGTCATGCTGAGAACAAGATCGCCCCAGCCTTGGTGGCAGTAAGAACTCTCTAGCGGCTGGCTCCTTTGTATTTCTAATCTTCAGCTTGAACCCCAGTATCTGTCTCTGGGCTTTTATCATTCATGCTACAATTAGCTTTACATAATCCTTGACTGGACCAGAGTCTCCAATCTGCCTATCTAAATTTTGTCTTGACTCTAAAATGCAGGCCCCACACCACCACCCAAGCAACACACCTAAAGCATACTTTGGGGTACACCATTCCCTTGCTCAAAACCTAAAGATCACCAACTTCATCAAGCCTTTCTCAGAGTTCCTCACCTTTCAAACACTATCTATGCTTCCTTTTCCCTTAGCACCTGTGACCTTAAACTATTAGTGTTTCTGTTCACATGTACTCTTTAATATAAGCGGCATGTGGCATGTGAGGGTTACTTCAGATCTTTCTTTGCATTACATACACTATATACAATTACTAATAAACCCAATATGATGTTGATCTGTAACAATGAAAACTTTGTATCAGTCTTTCCCAAACAAACACTGTTTATAAATTGTCTTAAGTACATAAAAAATAGACCCTTACCGATAATCTCTTTGCAGGGATTTTCTGCAGTGATAGGAACTCTGCAAGCTGGACACTGGCTGTTATTCTTCAACCACAAGTCAATACAGATAGAACAAAACACATGGTTGTTGGTACACACAACAGGTTGACGGACCTTTGAAAAAGGAAATATTACTTTAGTACCGAGCAACTGTCATAACTGGGTTCCCTATGATTGTGTTTAGAGCAAACAAATTGTTCCTTTCAAGTATGGGGTATGACTTAGGAATGTAAAAAATGATGCTTCTCTTAACCATACAGTTTCTCATATGACAGAGATGCTAGCTGATGGTCATGGTGACTGCAACCGAGAAGATATTATGTATTTAACATTCATGGTCAAAATGGTGAGGCTTTCTACTCACTAACTCTGGGACCTTTTCCTTCAGCCTACTTTCTGTTGGAGTCACAGGACAGCAGGACCATCAATCTGATGCTAAAATCCTTTAGGGCATCCCATGACACCAGGAGTACCAACAACCACCTGCTAACCCTGCCAAGACCCCTGGTGACTGGTGTGCTTTCTCACCACTCACCTCCCTGATATAATGGACTGGGGAATCAGGACATGTAGGAGGGGAGACAGCGTGTGTGTGTGTGTGTGTGTGTGTGTGTGTGCGCGCGCATGCGAATTCCTATTATGAATATTACGTTCATAGATGTACTACTTTTATCCTTCTGTTCATAATATTTCCAAGACAGCCCTGTATTTATACCAATGTCCCTTCATCCTACTCACATACTACTACTGCAGTGTTTTTAAAACTACCTTATACCCCAAGATTAAGAAGCCCAATAATAAAAGAAGTAATTTCCTTAGACTCATGGCTAGTTTAGAATGGTAACTGTGGTGGTTCAAATAAAAATGGCTCCCATAGGCTCATATACTTTAATGCTCAGTTACCAGTGAGCAGAAATGTTTGAAATGATTAGGAGGTGTGGCCTTGTTGAAGCAGGTATGTTACTGGGCTTTCGAAGCTCATGTCAGGCCCAGTCCTGCACCCGGCAACCTCCACCCTGCCTGCAGTTCAGGATGTAGCCCTCAATTCCTTCCACAGCACCATGCCTGCCACTGAAGAAACAAAAAATTGTTAAAAATTTAAAAAATAATTTTAAAAGAAATGAAAATTAAAAACTTCCTAGAACGTTTGTGATACAACTAAGGCATTCCTAAGACCAAAATTTACAGCTATGAGTGCCTAAACTAGAAAAAGATGTCTTAAATAAATGGCATACTGATGCACACTGAGGTCATAAAAATAAGAACAAAACAAGGCAGCTAGAAATAATAAAGACTAGGGAAAAAATAATCAAATACAGACTAAAATGCAACACATGGGCTCAAACAAACAAAAAAGTGGTTCTTTGAGATAAATGAAATCGACAAGCTCCTAGCCAAATTAACCAAATGAGAAAGACCCACCTTAATGAAATTAGAGATAAAGAGAAAACATAACAGATTTCAATGGAACCCAGAGGCTCACTGGGAAGTATTTTGAAACCTATACCCCCAAACCTACATAATCTGTAAGAGATGTATAAATCTGTAGACATACAACTTACTAATAATACTCATTTAGATCAGGATAATATAAACAACTTGAACAGATCCATATCAAATAATGAGACTGAAGCAGTAACCAAAAGCTTTTCACAAACTAAAAAGTCCAGAACCAAGGGATTCACTGTCAGGTTCTACTAAATCTGTGAGAAAGTTATAACAAGCAGTTCTCAAACTGTTTTCGTTTTTTTGTTTGTATTCTTTTGTTTGATTGTTTTTTGATTTTATGAGACAGGATTGTTCTGTGTAGCTTTGTAGACCAGGCTGGTCTCGAACTCACTGAGATCCACCTCTTCTGGGATTAAAGGCATTCACCCCTACTTCCTCAATATTCCTCAAGCTGTAAAACAGCAATAGTCCTCAACTTACACAAGACAGGAAGGGAAGGAGCGTCACCAAACTAACACTATGAAGCTAGTATCACCATAATACCAAAACCAGATAAATACACAGAAAAAAAGGAAGAAAAACAGACTATAGGGCAATTTCAGGATGCACACACAGAAAACTTTGCAACAAAGTTTCTGTAAATCTTACTCAAGACCACAGTGCTGGAGCTGGAACAATGACTCGGTGGTTAAGAGCACTCACTACTCTTGCAGAAAACCCCAGTTTGGGTCACAGCATCTACATCAGTGTTTTTCAACCCTTTGTGGGTCACACAGCAGATATTAACATTAAAATTCATAATAGTAGCAAAATTAAGAGTTATGAAATAGCAAGGAAGTGATTTTACAGTGGGGGGGGCACAACATGAACTGTATTAAAGGGTTGCACCATTAAGAAGGTTGAGAACCACTGCTCTACATAATGGATCACAGCTGTCTGTAACTCTAGCTCTAAGGAACCAGATCTCTGTAGGTGCAAAGTACAGAGTTCACAGAGATCCGCTTGCCCCTGCCTCCCTCCCAAATGCTGGGATTAAAGGTGTGTGCTACTACCACCTAGCTGTGGTCCTATATTTAAAAGACCTTCCAGACTCCATAGAAGACACGTAGATAGGATAAACACAGTCACCTATTAGCAGGACACAAAGTCAGTAGCACTTTTATACACCAATAATGAACTTTACCAAGAAAGAAATCAGGAAAAAACTCATATTCATAGTAGCTTCAAAAATAAAATACTGGGAATATCTTACTATGCAGGTGAAAGATCACAAAATTTCATACTGGTGAAATAAACTGCAGATGACACTAGAAGATGGATAGTTCTCCCATGCTCATGGATGGATACAATGTTGAAAATGGCTAATTGCCGAAAGGAATCTAATGATTCGATGCAATCTCGATCAAATATCAATGTTCTTCACAGAACTAAATATTAACAGTCTGGGGCTACAGATGGCTCAGCAGTTAAGCAAACACAGTGCTCTTGTAAAGGGTCAGTGTTTATTTTCCAGCACCCACGTCAAGATGCTCACAGCTGTAACTCCACCTGCAGGGGATTCAATATCTTCGTCTAGACTCAGTGGGCACCAGCACTCATAAATGCACATCATTTCCCTAAATCCTAAAGTTTTTCTGAAAGCACAATAGACCTTAAATACTTAAAGTAACCCTAAATAGAAAGAGCAAAGCTGAAGTGTTAACATTATCTGACTTCAATTACACTTAAGAGCCGTAGCAACACTAACTATCATGTATTGACACAAAGCCATGCATGTAAACCACTGGGATAGAAGAGAGGACCCACACAGGTAGGGCCACCTAATTTTCTTTTTCTTTTTAATGTGTACTTATAATTGTTCTCTAGGATAACATAATTTCAATGATTAGAAACATGATCTTAAATCTTTGCAAACTTAGTTACTGTTCTATTGTTGAGAAAAAACACCACAACCAAGGCACCTTCTAAAAGAAAGTATTTAATTGTAGACTTACTCACAGTTTCACAGGGTTAGCCCACAAACAACATGGCAGGGAGTATGACAAGGACTTTTGAAACCTCCAGGCCCACCCACAGTGACAAAACCACAACAGCTCCTAATCAGTCACCTACTTTCCACAAAGGTGTCAAAAACATACACTGTTGCTGGAAAAACTGGACATCCACATGTAAAGGAATCATACTAGATCCACAACTCTACCCTTGCATGTGAAACTATTCAAAGTGGATCAAGGACCTGAAAATTGGAAAATGCTAGAGAAAAACATAAACATATTTAAAATATAGGCATAAAGGAAAACTTTCTGAAAGATGTATAGCACAGGAAAAATCCAAAGACTAGACAAACAGAAATAAGCTTGTGACTAGCAAAGGCAATAATCACCAGAGTGAAGAGAGAGGAGAGGGAGGGAAAGTATCTTTGCCAGCTATACACCAGACAGGCATTAGTATCCAGCAAACATAAACAACCAGAAAAACTAAACACAAAAGCCAAATCATCCAATCAGTGACTGGGCTAATGAACTGACATAGCAGTTCTTAAATAAAAGTGTTCTAAATCCTAAGCCATCAAGGCAATGAAAAATTAAAACAGCTCTGAGAATCCCTCTTTATCAGAATGGCATTCACTAAAAGAATAAATGCAACATGCTAGCAGTAACACTTATACACTGCTGGTGCAAATGTATCCCGAAAAAGAGACTACAGAAGTACCTGTGTAGGTTCCTAAAAAACCTAAAATTAGAAGTACTTATGATACAGATCCACTTCTGAGTACATATGCAAGGATTCGAAGTCAACACATTACACAGATACTTGCACATTCATATTTATTGCTATAATATTCATAATAGTTAAGATATGGAATCAATTCAGATGACCATCAATAGAAAAATGGATAAATAGGGTACAGATACAAAAATGAGGTCATATCGTTCAAGAAAATGGATGGAACTGAACACCATTATGCTAGGAGCCTCCAATATCAAATGTTTTTATTTGTATGTGAAATTTAAATTTATGTCGGTGTAGGTCATGAAAACAGAAAAGGTACAATGGAAAGAGGGGGAAAGATCTTAATAGGGAAGGGAGGTTATATAATACATGTGTCATGAAAGCAGGAGGGACCATTTGGGAATAAAAGAGTCAATGGGAAAATGGAAAACTATTTTATATGCAGACACATACATACATATATACATATATGTTAGTATATATGTACATATATATAAAATGTATGTGTATACATACACACACACACAATGTACTTGGGTTGCCATAGTAGTTTGAAAAAGACATGTCTCCCATAGGTTCATGTAAGTGGACGTCTGGTCCCTGGTCCCTGGCACTGTGTTGGGGGCTACGGAACTTTTAAGTAGAGGAGATACACCCCTGGAGCCTGGTCCTGAGAGTTTAGAGTCTTACAGTTCCCTCTCTGCTTCCTACCTGCTGCTGAGTACACGATCTCTCAGCTTCCCCATCGGGCCACTTGCTGCCACTTCTGCCATTATGGACTCTTCTGCAGCTAAAGCCCAAATAAACTCTCTCTTGCACAGGTCATTTTTGTTCACGGTATTCTAGCACAGCAACAGAAAGTAATAGAGAAGCTGGTGCCAGGGTATTACTGTAAGGAACCTGACTTTTTCTCTTTTGGAAAAAATGTATATGACTTTGGGACTTTGAACTTTTAGAAAAGTAGTAGAATGCTATAAGCAGATATGAAAAGGTCTTCCTAATATAAGCCCGGAAGATGTTAGTGATGAGAGTATGTGGATTGTAGAGAGCTGGCCCAAGACATTTCAGAGAATGAGGCCACTATTAGCAGCTGGGCTAAGAGCACTTTGCCTTTGATATTTTGGCAAAACTATAGCTGCCTTCTTCCCACACCCTAAGAACTTGCCTGAGGCTAAATTAAAAAGATATTTCCTTGGCAGAGGAAATTCCAAGATAGCATAATATTAAGTCTGTGGTATGGTTATTACTAATACCTCATGTAATTACTAATACCTCATGAAAAGGAACAAGCTTTGTCTTCTTGTGGGACTCCTAACAGTGGGAACAGGGCCAGTCTCTGACTGTTTTGCCCGCTTTTAGAACCCTATTCCTCATAGTAGAGTTGCCTCGTCCATCCAGCATTAATGTGAGGGGAAGTGCAACTTGATATTCCATGTTTGGTTGATACCCACCAAAGGGAGGCCTGCCCTTTTCTGAATAGAAGCAAAGGAGGAATAGATCAGGGTGGTGACTGAGAAGAGAGGAGAGAGGGGAAACAGTGGTCAGGATGAGGGGGAAAAGTACTAGTTATAAAGTCTTTAAAAAGGGGGGGAGACTAGTGGAGCAGAAAGAAATCCTAAAAGTGTACAGTTTGCAGAGAAAAAGTTACAGCTGACCAAGGCTTGTGCTAAAGGTGAGGCTACAACTGTTAAAGAGATCAGAATTAAGGGAGGCCTTAAAACAATGGGAAGGAAGCTCTGAGAGCAGGACTGTATGTGGCCAAGCTTCCAACATATAAAGGGAGAAGGCCTAAGAGGTGGCTTGCTCCTAGAAACAATTGCTTCAATGTACTAAAGCGGCTGCAAATGTGGTCAACAGGGGCAATGGTCCATCCAAAGACGGCAGACAAACTTGGCGATGTTTTTTATGTGGTGATGTCTTTGGAGGCACAAAAGATCTAAGAGCAAGGTAATCATGAATTCTTCCTCTATGGTTTTCAGGAGCTCCCGAGGCCAGGAAACATACAATAAGGAAGCCGAGAGGGCTAGAAGCTCCGAGTGCCCATTGTGGGTGAAGAACCCAAGACAGTGGAGCTTCTCAAGCCATAAGATATCTGCCAAGAACTGCAAACAGGGAGAGGTACACCACGTGACATGTGGCAGATTTATGATGCAGGCAGCAAAGCTGGGGAGGTGACCCATCTAAGCCCTTTGACATTGAACTCTCAGACACTGGACACAGAGCTGTGCCTTGGATTTTGGTCTATGCCCCATTCTTCCCTTTTGGGGGTGAGAGTGTATAGTCTGCACATCTATGTTGGAAATGTGTATTTTTTTTACTTTATGGAGGGGGGGAATCACAGTTAAGAGATTGATGAGTCTTAGAAGAGACTTTAGATTTTAAACACTGGGATAGCAAAAGACCATGAGGACTTTAAAAGTTGTAGTAAGTGCATCTGTGTCACGACATGGCAATGCGCCTATGGGGAGCCCTGAGTGGAATGCGGTGGTCTGATGAGACATGGCCTCCACAAACCTGAGTATTTAATACTTGGCCCCAGGCTGCTGGCACTATGTGGGAGGACTGAGGAAGAACCCTTTGAGAAGGGAGGTCTCGCTGGGGAAAGAGCCTCATCAGCTGAGGCTTTGAAACTTACAGCTTAACCTCACTCCAGGCTCACTCATCCCCCTGCTTTCTGCTTTGTCTGCCTGCTGCCACACCTCACTCCCCATTATGGACTCTCCCTCAGGGAGCGTAAGCAAAAATAAATTCTCTCTTTCATTACCGGTGCTTTTAACACAGCAACAAAAAGTAACGAATACAAATACTAACTTAAAAATGGATTATTTCTCCAAGCAGTAAAATACAAAGAATTTGGTACTCTTTCAGTTCTTGTCTACCTATGTTCCTCTACCCAAATCCCAGGATACAAAACACCAAAACAGGCACAGGTCTAAAAGTTCTAAGACATGGGAATGATAATAATTTGCCCAGCTCACCAGTCTTCGCAATAAATTTTCTTTCAAATGAGAGCTCTAGCAATAAAAAAAAAGAACTCTTAAAAGATAAAAAGGCTGAATCATGATGGTAACGGTTATGTGGCACATGAAATCCGTAACTCTTCAGGGGCTTGCTTGTTGAAGGATGGAGATCATAAGACAATGTTTCCCAGATGGTGAAGAGGAGGAAGAGAACAGAGTGTGAAGTGTAATACTGTGCTCTGTATACTGAGGACAGGAAGGGGCAGGCAGTCTTTGGTGCAAAGATTAACCCTACAATCCATCTCCTTCCTTAGCCCCAATTGTCCTCACTCTGTAGACCATACCGGCATTTAACTCAGTGATCCACCTGCCTCTGCCTCCCAAGTTTCGGACAAAGTCATGTGCCACCACAATCAACTTTTGTTTTAATCACGTCATTTTATCTCTTCTATGACCAAATCCATTTCTTAAATAGCAAATGTATTTGGGAGGAGTAGTGTTAAAAAGTTTTTCATTAATAGCCCTACTATGTAGGGACTCACCAACTAGGAATTCTATATTGGCTCAGGTAGGGGCTTCTCATTTGGGGCACTATCAACATTTACCTAGACTGAAGTATTTTAGTGTTGTATGTCATAGGAAATTTAGCTAACAGCAGCTCTGGAGTCCACCAATCAGATGCCATTGGCTAACCCCTAGAGGCAATCAAAAGAAACTACATAATCACAAATGTTCCTCGGGATCAAAAATCTATCCTCCGCTCCACTGAGGACAAGAGAAATTCTTCCAACAAGTTAATAGGATTGATAAAATTAAATACATTTTGAGCGGTGGAAACTAAGGGAACAACAATAAAGATTATGATTGATAAAGCCTGAATTGTCCTTAAAAAGATTTTTAAAGGCTCTTCTGCTGTGGGGCAAGGATAAAAAACAATAATCTAGAAGTAAAGGCAAAAAGAGATGCATGCTTTAAAGAAGCAAGATGACACTGTGATGGAAACTACAGGTATGAACAAAATATAGTTCAGATTTACCAGTTGGCCAGATCAAATAGCACCCTCAGCTCGCCATAGAGATCAATCAAGCCCTTCTTCCTCACAGCACACGGGCAATTTTACTGACCTTTCGCTCTGACTGTCTAGGGTTAGCAGTTGCTTCCAAACCTAACCTGCTTTCATTTATCGAATCAGCAAATCCACGCTGAACTTCCAACACCTAAAAGCAGGCCATCTTATTGGCTGACAAGCAATTCTTTCCCCCCCCCCCCCCCGTGAAGCCTGGGGCTGTAACCTGCAGCCCACAGGCTCGGGCACACTACACACAGAAAGCAGTGTAAGGTGGTGGGGCGGGGAGAGAAGAAGGAGCGTCCCAGTTCCTTTCCGTTCTTGAACCACGCGGCAAAGGCACGCGCGCTCTCTAAAAGAACCGAATCGGGAGGCACGAACGGAAATGAAAGGGAACACGAAAGCACGAGAACGTTCCAAAACTCACACCACTCCCCCCCCCGCCCCCGCCGCGTTGGTCTCGCAGACCCGCGAGCACCTCTGGCCTCCGGCGCCCGAGCCGGCTGTCGCTCGGGGTCGAGCCCACGCTTCTCCTTCCTTCCGCAGCCGCACGGAGGGGCGCGGGCGGGCGGCGGCATCTGACCCTGGAGCCTCTGGGCGCCCGGCGAAAGCCACGGTCCGCACGGGGGGCAGGAGCTTGGGAGAGCGGGCCGGCCGAGGCCGCGCAGCCCCGGGCGGCGGCTGAGCCGGGCCCCGCGGGCCGCACCCCCAGGCCCGGCCTCCCGTCCCGCCGCCTCCCGCCTCCCGCCCCGCCAGCCCGCCTCCCGGCCGCGCCGCGCCGCGTTACCTTCCCCAGGCAGATGTGGCACGTGATGGGCAGGGTGAGGGACAATGTAACGTTCTGCACCGTCTGAGCCATGGCAGCGTTCAGAATCCCGCCAACACGGAAGTCCCGCCGGCAGGCAGCAGCCCTTCGCCACGCCGGGGACGCGCGAGGCCGGCTACGGCGGCCCGGCGGGGCCACAGCGAGCCGGGCGACGGGACGGAAACGCGCTTCTGGGACGCCCGGGCGGTCGCCCCCGTCCCCGCCCTCCGTCATTTTCTCCCCCTTTTCCGTTGACAGGTGGTAACTGCTGTGGGGAACAGATTTCAGATAGGCCCCTTGGCCCCGGGAGCTGGGGATGGATGGGAAGGGGATGGCTTTCCCGGCGGGTTCGAGGCTCTTGACAGTTTAGGGAAAGTGTACCTGATCTGAGCAGGGAGCGGGGAAAGCTATGGTGTTTCAGCCCCCACATCTTCCCCCGAAGACTCGAGTGGGGGTGGGGGTCGGGGTCGAGCCACACCTCTTGAGCCCTCAAAACATAACGAGGAAATTATTATTCATTGGATATCTTCAAAACAACCGTTTCCTCTCGGTTTCTCCTATTCCTACAGCGTGCTTCCAGAAGGCGCGATGGATGATTGACTTAAAAGCAATGGTCAGCATCCAGAACTATCCAGAAGTACCTGGGTAAACTCGATCTCGGCTCTCTTTGAAGACAAACTTTGACTAGCCAGTCTGCGCTTTCCTAATCAGGAGGTTTCAGGAGCCAGGGCTCTGATTCACCCTAAGCGAGGACACAGCAGTGCAAAGCATACGCTTGCACAATGCATTTCAACGACTTCATTTTAGGTGCACGTACAATATGAAATGCACCACTTGTGTTGTTGAACACCACGAGATAATTTGTGAGGTTACAAATTAGCATTTCCCAACAATGACAAAGAACAGAAAATCTAAATGTTCCCAAACGAATCTTACCTGTAAGATTTGGGATTTAACTACAACTTAGTGTAAATGAGAAAGAGCTAATATGAGCAATGATGCAAAGGAGTGTAGTGTGTAAGATGGGAAATTTAGAAACAAGAGAAATGCCTTTTGCTGATGTCTTTTTAAATGAGACTGATGGAGAAGATATCCCTGCCTAGGACAACTTCCTAGGTCCTGGCTTCAGGCAGCTAATTAAATATCTGCCCCTTAGTGCCTCTCTCTCTCTCTCTCTCTCTCTCTCTCTCTCTCTCTCTCTCTCTCTCTCTCTCTCTCTCTCTCTCTCTCTCTGTGTGTGTGTGTGTGTGTGTGTGTGTGTGTGTAAAGAAGGTGGAGGCCCATCATCCTGGCTCCAAACTAACCACACAATAATGCAACTGGAGAAGTTGGCAACTGGCCTGGAGAAGTCTCTAATTTAAATCTGGCTCACTAGTGGCAGTGAGAATAGTCCAAACAGCGCAGTATCTTTGTTTCCTAAGAATTAGAGGGTATAGTCAGGTTGGAATTGGAGAACTAGGCAAAAAGGCCATTACTGACTCCCTGTGTAAAAAAAAAAAAAAAAAAAAAAAAAAAAAAAAACACTTCTTTAGAAAGCCTAGCATGAGAATAATCTGCTTCTAAAATCTTGTGGTTAGTTGAAAGCAAAGTCATATTTATTCCAGGTCCAGAATTCACAAGCCTAGAAAATATATATTTCACATTCCCAGCTGAAGCCAGGGTTAGAACGAGAAATTCCTGTGATTTTTTTTGGGGGGGGGCCTTCTACAGTCTCTGAGTAGGACAGAGGAGTGAGGATGGCCTGCCAGGGACACCTATCCCTGAGGATACTACAGCAAGGGACAGATATGTGGAAGATACTTCCATCACAAACGAGTTCCACTTCTAACCTGGCAAATGCACATCTTGTAAATCATTTGATGAGTGGTTCCCAGCCTCCCTGTTGTTGTGACCCTTGAATACAGTTCCTCATGTTCTGGTGACCCCCAACCATAAAGTTTTCATGGTTACTTCATAACTGTAGTTTGCTACTGTTATGACTTGTAATGTAAATATCTGCTTTTCTGTTGGCTTTAGATGGCCCCTGGGAAAGGGTCATTTGATCCAAAGGGGGTCAAGACCCATACACTGAGAAGCACTGACTTTGATGATTCATGCAATACCTAGTCTCAAACATAAATTTTACAAATAGAACCTATTTTAATTAGAACAATAAGATCAAGCTATTTCCAACATCTCTACGTTCTTTTGCTATTATTGACACAGCCTTTGAGTGCTCTCTCTCTCTATAGCTATGTCTATACTGGTTTAATTCTGTTATAGTAAATTATGTGCCTACTACCTTAACAAATTATGGTGTGCTTGTTATTTTTTTCCCTTTGTTTGGCTTGTTTTCGAGAGAATCTCACTACATAGCCTTGAGTAGCATGTAATTCATTCTGTCTACCAGCCTAGCCTAACCCCTTGCTTCCGCCTCCTAAGCGTTAAGACTAAAGGCATGTACAACCATGTCCAATCTCAAATGAGGTCTCTTGAATTTCAGGATAGCACTTAACTTTTAGTGTATGGTACTAAGTGATTATTCTACAAATAATAATGTATCTTTTCCAATAAACAGTCTTTTTTGTAAGTTCAAACCATTTTATTTTAAATAATGTCTTTCGGGGTACTTGTAAAAGGAAAACTATACATATATATTTTTCAGAATTATAAAAATATTAAGGTTCATTTTAAGAAAATTAAATTACTTAAAATGCACAGTATAGTAAGTGAAAGTTCATCTCCGTTTTTCAACACACCTCTCTGTTACTCTTAACAGTCTGGGACATGTCCTCACACATATTTTAATGTTTGTATTACCGTGAATAAGCACAGATTGCCGAATGTTATAACAAGCCTGCTTCATTTACTTAATGCTTTATACTAACACACATGTGTGCACACAACCATGTAATACTGCTCTGCTGCTGTGGATATGGGTTGATTGAGACTCTCTAGATCCATAAGTGTTCCAGGACAATTCTGGGCTTTACTTTACATAAGGCAGCAGCTTCAGAGCGAGAACCCTCTTCTCTCTATTCTGTGAGGAACATTTCCCATTTTGGGTAAATTGTGTTCTAAATAGACATTGCTGGCACAGACTGCCACAAGTTTCTCTCATTACTTTTAAAATGACATGGCTCACTGAATACTTATTTTCAATTTCACTTTCTTCTTTAATTGAAAGCATTTTTTTTTGTTGTTCAATACATTCTTTTTTTTTTCATTTTCATTCATTTGCATGTGGTCAAGTGTGTGTGTGGAGATCAGAGAGAAACTTTCAAACGTCCTCTCCTTCTACTGCATGGGTTCTGGGGATGGAACCTGAGTCATAAGTTTTGATGACGAGAACCTTTGCTGAGCCATGTCTCTGACCCTACACAATACATTCTCAATGGCCTTACAAGAAACATTATGAACTGAGGATTTCAGCAAAAATGGTACTTGGAATGGTAAGTTAAGGCCCCCTGAATCCTTAGAATTACAAGCATGTGGCAGCCAAAAGGCTCTTGGGGTTAGTTATGAGGGCCTCGTCTTCCACAGACGAAGAAACTGAGGCTTGGATGGCAGCACAGCAGGCAATGGCAGAACTCCAGCTAACTTCTCGCTCACACTTGAGGACTCTCTGAGGTTGTTGGCTCAAAGCCCTCGTGCAAGTGCAAGATGTATTATTATTAATAAAGTAGCTCAGTAATAAAAAGTCAGTCATAATTGAATTTCTTTGCTACAAAAACCATCAAATATCCCTGGAACACCTTTTACCCCTTGTTTAAATCAGACTCATTTTTATGATAAATAATTTAAAAGCAAGTTTAAAAAATAAATTCTTAAGTGCTATTAAAAATTGATTAGGAATGCATTATTCCCTCATTGACCCAGTTTAGATTGTTTTTAAAAATTTTTTCCTGTTAAAGCTAATAAATTTGAGTAGACATTTCAGATAGACAGTTTGTAATCACTGGCTCATCAGTCAATTAATCACAACTTCGTAAATATTGATTTCAGATTAAATTTAGTTTCCATTCCTGAAAGATCATTTTTTTTTCTGTTTGTTTTAAATTCATACGCCCCACCTGGATTGTGGTTAAAACTAAGGAAATTCATAAAAATTATATTAAAAATTAATCATAGGTACTGGCCCAGTTGCATGGGCATCATATAAGGTAATGTCCTCTCAAAGCTTGGGTATTGTGAGCTAAAATATTCTAAAAGGAAGGCAGAAAAACTGTCTTATACTTCAGCAGAGGAATGGGAGTGTTCTTGTACAGTATCTTCGTGTTTTACTCATGAATACATTGATATATGCGGTCTACTTCCATTGCAAACCTTCATTCATGCCTTTGTTCATTCACTGAATGTTTATTACAAGCATGAAGGAAAGCTCATTCAGAAAAAAATTCTCTCATGGAGCGTACATTCTGTTGCAAAAGTTATCTGCATTGGCTTGCAGCAAAATCTGGTTTCTTGGGTAACAGGGTAAAGTGTACATCAAGCTAAGATGTAGACACAGGATAATGGTTGCAGGATAAATATGTGAAAGCAGTTACTCATTTGTTCACTCCACCAATATTTATATATGTTTTATTGCCAGGCACTTATCCAAGGGCTGGGTGTAAAACAGTGAATCAAAAAAACAAGATCCCTGGCTTCATTTAGCCACCGAACAAATATTTATTGATTATCAATAATGTGCCAGTCACTGTAGTAGAAATGAGGTATTTTATGAATCTAACAACTGAGTCTAGCATGTGAATTCCATCTTAAAGTAGCTATATCTTCAGTCATTTCTCTCCCGGATACTCTTACTGTTGGTTTGCCTCTGGCCATTGTGACATAGCAGGTTATAATATTAAATATTTTAAAATGTTTGCAAATTTGGTGATTGTTTTAAATTATGTCATTTTAAGAGAATATTTTATTTCTACCTAAGGCTAAATGTTGCTTCACAAATGTTTGTTGAATGTTAGAAGATAAATGAAGGAAATATCACATCGGGGAATATTGTAACAAGAATCACCAAGGTTGGGGGAGCCACAGAATTTTCCAGAATACTATGAGGAATAGGAAACCAGCCTCTGAATAACTACTTTCAACACTGAGTTGATGGAGCAAGCACATTCATTTTGTTCTTGTTTTCATTTTGTTTGGAAACAGAAATTCTAA